AGCCAGAGCTGGGCCGATCCGAAGCCAGGAGCCAGGAGCTTCTTCCTAGTCTCCCACGTGGGTACAGGGGCCCACGTGCTTGGGCCATCTTCCATTGCTTTCCCAGGCCATAGCAGAGAGCTTCATTGGAAGAGGAGCAGCCGGAACTAGAACCGGAGCCCATAAGGGATGTCAGCACACAGGCAGAGGATTAACCAACTGTGCCACAGCATCAATGCCTGTACTATTATCTTGGCTTCTATCTTGAATCTAGTTTTACCAACCATGCCTACATCTCTAAACAGTATAATCTAGTTTTCCTTATTTTTTTTATATTTATTATTTACTTGAGGAGGGGGGAATCCCACCTAGTGGTTCATTCCTCAAATGCCTGCAATGGCCTGGGCCCATCCCAGGCTGCAGCTTTGAGCCAGGAACTCCATTCAGGTCTCCCATGTGGGTCACAGGGACCCAACTACTTGTGCTATCTCCTGGAGTCTGCACTAGCAGGAAGCTGGAGTCACGGCCAGAGCCAGGAATTCAACCCAGGAACTCTGATGTGGGACTGGGGCATACTTATTAGTGTCTTTTAAAAAATTTTTTTTGTCTATTTATCTGAAAGGCAGAGTTAGAGAAAGAGAGAGAGAGAGAGGTCTTCCATCCGCTGGTTCAATCCCCAAATGGCCACCATGGCTGGAACTGGGCCAGGCCAAAGCCAGGAGCCTGGAGCTTCTCCCAGGTCTCCTACATGGGCACTGAGGCCCAAGGACTTGGACCATCTTCTATTGCCTTCCCAGGCCATAGCAGAGAGCTGGATCAGAGGTGGATCAGCTGGGACTTGAACTGGCATCCTTATAGGGTTGCTAGCACTGCAAGTGGTAGCTTTACTGGCTGCACCATAGTGCCTGCCCCTAATTAGTGACTTAACCACTAAGCTAAATGCCTGCCCCAATTTTGCCTTAAAATAAAAAGCTTCATATTAATTGAATTACCCAAAATGTAGTCTTTGAACCTGGCTTCTTAAACTCAGTATTAAGATTTATCCATGTTATTCAATGTAAGTTAAGTTTGTTCATTTTCATTATTTATAGTCTTCTATTGTATAAATCTACCACCATTTATTTCTCAATTTTATTATAGGAGGATTTTGGATTTGTTTCTGGTTTGGAGATATTGTTTATACATTCCAGTGCATATAAGTGCTAATCCATTTTATATTGGGTTCTCTTAATGATTTGTAGGAGCTCTCCGTATTTTCTAGATTACAAGTTCTTTGTTGGTCATATTTATGTGTTAGCAGAATTTTCTGCTCTGTGGCTTGCCTCTTTGCACTTTTAATAACATCTTTTGATGAATTTAAAAGCTCTTCATTTTAATGCAGTCAAAATTATCTGTCTTTCCATTTGTATTTGGTGCTTGTCTGTGTCTTGTTTTTACCTTGGGGGGGGTCACAAAAATACGAGCACACTTTAAAAAGTTAATTGAAAATTGAATTAAAAGATGAGTTTATTTCTGGTGAATTTTGAAACCCATGCATAACTTTTTTTAAAATATTTTATTTATTTATTTGACAGATAGAGTTAGTGAGAGAGAGAGACAGAGAGAAAGGTCTTCCTTCCGTTGGTTCACTCCCCAAATGGCCATCATGGCCGGAGCTACACCGATCCGAAGCCAGGAGCCAGGAGCTTCTTTCCTGGTCTCTCACATGGTGCAGGGCCCAAGCACTTGGGCCATCCTCCACTGCCTTCCCGGGCCACAGCAGAGAGCTGGACTGGAAGAGGAGCAACCAGGACTAGAACCGGCGCCCATATGGGATGCCAGCGCTGCAGGCAGAAGATTAACCTAGTGCGCCACCATGCCGGCCCCATGCATAACTTTTTGATAACACACATTTCAATGAACTTTTTGTAGACCCCTCCGTACTATTTTTATCCTCTGAAAGTTTTATTGTTTTGCCTCACACGTTTGTTTTCACAGCCCACACGGAACTGATTTTTGTGTATGGTATGAGAGATGGTCCAATTTCATTTCCTCCTAGATAGCTAAAGATTCCATAGCATTTATTATGAACGCTATTCATGTATTAAAAATCTCTCCTTGGCCGGCGCCGTGGCTCAATAGGTTAATCCTCCACCTTGCGGCGCCGGCACACCGGGTTCTAGTCCCGGTCAGGGCGCCGGATTCTGTCCCGGTTGCCCCTCTTCCAGGCCAGCTCTCTGCTATGGCCAGGGAGTGCAGTGGAGGATGGCCCAGGTGCTTGGGCCCTGCACCCCATGGGAGACCAGGAAAAGCACCTGGATCCTGGCTCCTGCCATCGGATCAGCGCGGTGCGCCGGCTGCAGCGGCGGCCATTGGAGGGTGAACCAACGGCAAGGGAAGACCTTTCTCTCTCTGTCTCTCTCTCTCACTGTCCACTCTGCCTGTCAAAAAAAAAAAAAAAAAAAAAAAATCTCTCCTTGTGCATTGAAGTGCTACATTTGTCACAAATCAAGAATCCATGGTAAGTCTGTTTGGGCTTTCTAGACTGTTCCACCAGTCTATTTGTCCTTGTGCTAGTCGCACACTGTTTTAATCATCACAGCTTTAAGATAAGTTCTCATGTCCGGTAGAGCAGGTTCTCCCACGTTGTTGCTCAGCAGTTGTGTGTCTTGGCTATTGACCTTTTGCCTATGTTTTATAGAGTTTGGAAATCAACGTGTCAGTTCCACAAAAACAAATGAAACAACCCACTGGGATTTTTGTTGGGACTTACTTAAATCTTCTTTACTTTCTTTCAGTGAAATGTTTATAATTTTTTCCAATAGAAGTCTCACACAACTTTTGTTCCTGTGTACTTGACTTTCAAAAGCAGTTGTAAATGTCATTCTTTTAAAAAATGTATTTCACTAGCATTGATTGCTGTTATATAGAACTACAAGTCTGTTTTTGCATGTGTATTTACCTAGAAACCCTGCTAACTCTATTCTTATTAATCCTAACAATTATTTTTGTAAATTCCTTGAGACTTTCTAACTTCACCATCAAACCATTTGTGAATAATGACAAATTTCTTTTTATCCTTTTTGATCTCATACTTTTTTTTTTCTTCTAGCTTTAGTACACTGCCTTTGACCTCTATCATAGGGGTTTTTTTTTTTTTACATTAAGTTTACTTTTTGGCCAATTTGATATATAGAATTTATTAATTCTGTTACATAAATTAACTACCTTTTTTCTATTTTATTTATTTATTTATTTATTTGCATGTATCTCATAAATACAACATTGGGAGCATAGTAATTCTTCCTGCCGTACCTGCCCTCCAACCCAAATTAACTACCTTTTAAACAGAATCATACACTCCAAAAAGCACCATGTGTGCTTTTAAAGTTTCACGGGTGACAATTATGTGTGAAGACCAATACAAAAAGGTCGCTAATGCAGAGATGAATAGGATTGTTTGATTTTCATCTGTGGCTTAAAATTAAAGCCACATTGAAATCACCCAGGGGGGGCTTGAAAATTCCTGATGCCAGGCCTGTGCCCTTGGCCTACTGATCTGAATGTCTGTAGGTGTGGTCCTAGATATCTGGTGATTTTAAGAGCTCTGTAAGTGATGGGGGGAGGGGGCAGCACAGTGCACAGTGGGCAGGAGGGAGGGTTTACAAAGACGTTCAAGGGAGAGAGAGCTATGTTTGCTATCTTGGGCATGGTGATGACTTCATATATGCGTGCATATTTTAAAACTTATCAAAGGGTACACTTTAATTCTGTTCAGTTCATTTTACGTCAAGAAAGAGAGCCCCAGATGATTCTGATACATGGCAGAGGTTAAGAATCAGTGATCAAATGGGAAAGGCACACGAGTGGAAGTAGAAGTTGGGTAGACTTACATCTGTCAGAAGTTAGCTGTGTACACTTGAGCAGCTTCGCCCCTCTGGACCTCAGTTTCATTCCAGTTGGCAGGCTCCATTTCTCATGTACTTCAGGGCTCTGACATTTTGAAGCCTCTGCTGCTGGTGCACCTCCTGACCACACAGGGGAGCTGTGCAGCTGTCAGCCGCTTCCTCTCCTTTGAACCCTCTGGTGAGGTCAGAATTAGCTGGCCAGGCATCTTTCCCTGCTCTCTGAGCTCCTCCTCCTCCTGGTGATTTTGAGCCCCACTTCTCAACTGTCATTTTCAGCTGCTCCCACCCACTGATCCAGCTGCAGGTGAGCCTTTCTCTAAGCAAAGTAAATCCATGAATGTCTGAAGGTACAGAATAGCTTTAAAAAGGAATCCTCAGATTGCTTCAACAAGACACTGCTCTCCTAAAGCAATTAAAATAGATCTAATTGGGTATCTATGCATATGTATAGATGTGTAGCTGTCTATCTCAGTAAGCACATTAACAACATTATTCTACTACTCCTAAGAAAATTGTCCATCTAAACAAACAAAAAAAAAACCAGTTGTATGTTTGCCAGAGGTGTAATTTCAAAATTCTCCAGGCAGTAAACATTGCTTAGCTGAAGAAAGGCATCAAGGTTAGCAAACAAAGCAATTTTATCCATGTAATGTGATGTAACATGCTTCAATATGGGGTGTATATGTGTGTGTGTGTGTATGTGTGTGTGCATGCACAAGCTTGTGTGTGTGTGTAGCCATCTGTGTGTTTACATAAATTCAGGTGAGCAGTTTGGCTAAATATGTTTAGAATGGAATCTATTCAGACACTCTGGGTATTAATCTTTATTTTTTTTTTGACTAGACATGGTAGAAAATCTGGATGCCTAGAAGGGATTGACCAGAACTAATGTTACAAAAATGAACTAGCTATGCCCTAAATGTTAATAAGTGCATTATATTAAGTCCAGCGCAGAAATGAAAAGCAAGTTCTTTTCTAAAATGCAATAACAACAGTAATTAAAAACAAAAATAATCGCCTCCCTCGCACACAGGTTTTTCCAAATGATTTTATAAAATCTTAACCTTGAAGTAGCTCTGTCTTTCATTTTTGGTCTAATTGCAGTTTTCTTCCATTTTGATTCTTAAATTTCAGATTATTCTATGAGCCAGTCACAACACCTTGTGGGCATACCTTTTGCTTAAAATGCCTTGAAAGATGCCTAGATCACAATGCCAAGTGTCCGTTGTGCAAAGATGGCCTTGCACAGGTAAACCAGTATTTTCTTTCTTGGTTGGTTTTGCTTATTTGGAAATGGGTAGTCGTATAGTGTTCAATTGGATTCCGAGCCCCTACACTGCACTAGGGCAAAATACCCCTTTGGACCATCTCTCAGTTTCTTCTAATAGCCACCCCTCTCCTTTACAAGTCCTTCATGAAAATGAGACAACATTCAGCTTTTTATAAACTCTCAGTCCCAAAATTAATTTGTGTTGGAAACAAAAGCATTAAAGAAATGGATCCTGACTCTAATATTGGCGTACCACTTGGTATGATACACTGGACCCTGGGGCAGATATTTTGTCCTCTCTCAGTTGGGCTAAATGTTAATTCTGTGTTTTGAAGAGATCAGCTCCTGAAACCCAGAAAAGCCTCACAGACCTTCACTATGGTCCTTATCAAACATCTCAGGAGCCACTGTACTTATTTTTTTAAAGATTTATTTATTTATTTGAAAGGCAGAGTTACACCGAGAGAGAAGGAGAGGCAGAGCAAGGTCTTCCATCTGCTGGTTCACTCCCTGATTGGCCGCAACAGCCGGAGCTGCGCGGATTTGAAGCCAGGAGCTTCTTCCTGGTCTCCCACGTGGTCGCAGGGGCCCAAGGACTTCACGCACCTTCTGCTGCTTTCCCAGGCCATAGCAGAGAGCTGGATTGGAAGTGGAGCAGCCAGGACTCAAACCGGTGCCCATATGGGAGGCTGGCACTGCAGACAGTGGCTTTACCACCTACACCACGGCACTGGCCCCCACTGTACTTATTAGTAGATACCTGTATACCTGAAAAAGTCCAGTTTCTCTAAACTCCATCACACAAACTCTCACCTTCATTTTTTTAATGGACCTGAGGGAATTTCCTGTAGCAAAGAAGGCCCCGGGGCCGATGCTGTGGCACAGTGGGTTAACGCCCTGGCCTGAAGCGCCAGCATCCCATATGGGCGTCGGTTCGAGGTTCAAGACCAGGCTGCTCCACTTCCGATCCAGCTCTGCTATGGTCTGGGAAAGCAGTGGAAGATGACCCAATACCTTGGGCCCCTGCACCCACGTGGGAGACCCGGAAGAAGCTGCTGGCTCCTGGCTTCGGATAGGCGCAGCTCTGGCCATTGCAGCCAATTGGGGAGTGAACCAACAGGTGGAAGACCTCTCTCTCTCTCTCTTTCTCTGCCTCTCCTCTCTCTGTGTGACTCTGACTTTCAAATAAATAATTAAATCTTTTTTTTTTAAACTTTTATTTAGTAAATATAATTTTCCAAAGTACAGTTTATGGATTACAATGGCTCCCCCCCCCCATAACTTCCCTCCCACCCGCAACCCTCCCATCTCCCGCTCCCTCTCCCATTCCATTCACATAAAGATTCATTTTCAATTCTCTTTATATACAGAAGATTGATTGAGTATATATTAAGTAAAGATTTCATCAGTTTGCACCCACATAGAACATAAAGTGTAAAATACTGTTTCAGTATTAGTTATAGCATTACTTCACATTGGACAACACATTAAGGACAGAGATCCCACATAAGGAGTAAGTACACAGTGACTCCTGTTGTTGACTTAACAATCTGACACTCTTGTTTATGGCATCAGAAATCTCCCTAGGCTCTAGTCATGAGTTTCCAAGGCTATGGAAGCCTTTTGAGTTCGCTGACTTCGATCTTATTTAGACAAGGTCATAGTCAAAGTGGAAGTTCTCCCTTCAGAGAAAGGTACCTCCTTCTTTGCTGGTCCATTCTTTCTACTGGGATCTCACTTGCAGAGATCTTTCATCAAATAAATAATTAAATCTTAAAAAAGGCCCAGGAATCTGTCTTGTTTTTTTGGGTGCTACGTTTTGTAATGCATATTAATTGTTCCTTGACCCCTGTCTTTCTGAGGAGAGATTAGAAACACAAGACTATCTGTAGGTGAATAGAAGTCCAGAGAAGTCACATATGGAGCTTTCTCAAGATCCCACTAGTTAAACTATGGGAACAGAGTGAAGTAATCATCAAGGATAGCCCTGAGGGTGTGTATGGAGGTTTGGGAGGAATCAACGCCATGCCTTTCCCTAGATAAAGAAGTAAGACTTGTTAGTCTGATTATAGGTGAGGAGCACGTGGCCCTTAGACTTAGCTAATGCATCTGTGTTGCAGATAAGCAGAAGGAAGAAAAACCTATCTGTATGCTCCACACCTAGAGAATACCCCTTTGAATATGTAGTAGGTGCCCTTCCTGGCTTTTGGTTTTAGCATCAGCAGAGGATTCACTGCCTTCTTCTGAGTCACTGCTTTTCCCCAAAGACTGGGACTGGCAACACAGTTGATTTTCCTGTATCAGGCAATGACAGTGCTGTGGAGTCAAACTCAGGAGCTGGAAGATATTCTCATTCTCCCTTTATCTATCTATCTATCTATCTATCTATCTGTCATCTATCTATCTATCAAATCTATAATCTATATTCACCCAGAGTCAAACTTAGACCATTTTACAGAGACATAAATATTCCAATCATGTTCAGCACAGAACACAGACACAGCCTGTACTGGGAAAGGAACAAAATGGTCTGAAGCCAAACCCAGCAGTTTTATACTCAGGTGTTCCCCCTGCTGGTTATATAGGTGTAGTTTCCATAGTGAGTCATTCTCTGCAGATTTTTTTTTTTTTTTGGCATAAGGAATTTAGATGTTTTAGCCTCCATTGATCCATTGATTGGTTCACATCATTAAACACCCACTACTTACAGATCTCTGCCTATATATGGGGTGGGGGTGTTTGCAGGAGAAAATAATAGTGACAACTGAGCCTGATTCAAGTTCTGAAATCATGGCTTATCATGTAATTTCAGTGACACATAAACGATATATTTCAAGGCAAATAGACAGAACCACTTGTTTTCCAAAACAAGTGAGAAGATAAAAATGTGTAGACTTGACAATATCTGGGAGCCAAGCATTGGGGTGGTGTAGGGGAGGGCAGGGAAGAAAAGGATCAATGATTATGATTGAAAATTCCCTTTAGGTTCTCTGAACCTTTTGACCACTGGCTTTCAGAATATGCCAGGCAGAGGTCATTCCTGTGAGTTTGTAAACATTAAAAAAGAAAAGGCAAGGATTGTCATCACTGTTCAATAACAACTTGACCTCAATATCAGTGTTTTAAGAAGACTGAGATTTTTTTAAAGATTGATTTATTTATTTGAAAGGAAGAGTACACAGAGAAAGAGGGAGAGACAGAGACAGAGACAGAGACAAACAGACAGAGAGAGAGAGAGAGAGATCTTCCATTTGGTGACTCATTCCCCAAATGGCTGCAATGGACAGAGCTGGGCCAGGCCAAAGCCAGGAGCCAGGAGTTTCTTCCCAGTCTCCCAAGTAGGTGGCAGGGGTCTGAGCACTTGAGCCATCTTCTGCTGCTTTCCGAGGCACATTAGCAGAGAGCTGGATTGGAATTAAGGGAGCCAGGACACAAGTTGGCACATATATGGGACGTCAGCATCACAGGCAGCAGGTTAACCCACGATGCCATAACACCAGCCCCTGACTATGAGATTTTTAAAACTTTAGTGCTGTGTTCCCCTAACTATATACAAGTGTGTTTTCTTTATGTTCTGATATCCAGAGAATGCATATATTATCATAGCACTAGATGTTAATTTGTGGATCCAAATTATTCTAATATGTGGGTTATTTGACTATTCTGATGAGTCAGAAGTGCTTTGTGCTTTCTTTTTTTTAACTTTTATTTAATGAATATAAATTTCCAAAGTACAGCTTATGGATTACAATGGCTTCCCCCCCCCCCCATAACTGTTTCCCAGATTCCTCCATCTTGATGCAAATGACCGGATTTCATTGTTTTTGACTGCTGTATAGTATTAGATAGAGTACATGTCCCATAATTTCTTTATCCAGTCTACTATTGATGGGCATTTGGGTTGGTTCCAGGTCTTAGCTATTGTGAATTGAGCTGCAATAAACATTAAGGTGCAGACAGCTTTTTTGTTTGCCAATTTAATTTCCTTTGGGTAAATTCCAAGGAGGGGTATGGCTGGGTTGTATGGTAGGGTTATATTCAGGTTTCTGAGGAATCTCCAGACTGACTTCCATAGTGGCTTGACCAGTTTGCATTCCCACCAACAGTGGGTTAGTGTCCCTTTTTCCCCACATCCTCGCCAGCATCTATTGTTGGTAGATTTCTGAATGTGAGCCATTCTCACCAGGGTGAGGTGAAACCTCATTGTGGTTTTGATTTGCATTTCCCTGATTGCTAGTGATCTTGAACATTTTTTCATGTATCTGTTGGCCATTTGGATTTCCTCTTTTGAAAAATGTCTGTTGAGGTCCTTGGCCCATCTCTTAAGTGGGTTGTTTATTTTGATGTTGTGGAGTTTCTTGATCTCTTTGTAGATTCTGGTTATCAACCCTTTATCTGTTGCATAGTTTGCAAATATTTTTTCCCATTCTGTCAGTTGCCTCTTCACTTTCTTGACTGTATCTTTTGAAGTACAGAAACTTCTCAATTTGATGCAATCCCAAATGTTAATTTTGGCTTTGACTACCTGTGCTTCTGGGGTCTTTTCCAAGAAGTATTTGCCAGTACCTATATCTTGCAGGGTTTCTCCAATGCTCTCTAATAATTTGATGGTGTCGGCTCATAGATTTAAGTCTTTAATCCATGTTGAGTGGATTTTTGTGTAACGTGAAAGGTAGGGGGTCTTGCTTCATGGTTCTGCATGTGGAATTCCAGTTTTCCCAGCACCATTTATTGAATAGACTGTCCTTACTCCAGGGATTGTTTTTGGATCCTTGATCAAATATAAGTTGGCTGTAGATGTTTGGATTGAATTCTGGTGTTTCAATTCTGTTCCATTGGTCTATCCATCTGTTTCTGTACCAGTACCATGCTGTTTTGATAACAACTGCCCTGTAGTATGTCCTGAAATCTGGTATTGTGATGCCTCCGGCTTTGTTTTTGTTGTACAAGATTGCTTTAGCTATTCGAGGTCTCCTGTG